TCCCTCCCCCACAGGCAGGCCCGGGGGGGCTCCGGGGGCGCGGCCGTGGCCGCGGAAGCAGAGGCGGGCGCGCAGGCAGACGGCGCCGGAGCCGCCGCGCCGGCAGTTCCTCTGCGTGACGCTGACGGCCGCCGGCTGCACCGACACGGCCGCGGCCACGCGCAGGATCCGGCGGGACCTGCGGGGCACGGCCACGGCGGGCGGCTCAGGGGGCACGGCCCGAGCCCGCTGAGCGCGGGGAGAGCGCGAGGGCTCCGGGAGCAGAGCGGGGTCTGGCCAGGGGAAACTGAGGCACGGAGTGTCGCGCCATGGCCCGCGTGGCACTGTTCCTGGGGTGTCCTATCCCTTCTGCATGTTCTTGTCCCCTCTCCATGTCCTCATTCCCGGGGTGTCCCTGTCCCCATTCCTGAGGTGTCCCTGTCCCTTCTCCATGTCCCTGTTCCTGGGGTGTCCCTGTCCCTTGTCCATGTCCCCATTTCCAGGGTGTCCCTGTCCCCTCTCCACGTCCCTGTCCCTTCTCCATGTCCCTGTTCCCAGGGTGTCCCTGTCCCCATTCCTGACGTGTCCCTATCCCTTCTCCATGTCCCCATTTCCAGGGTGTCCCTGTACCTGTTCCTGGGGTGTCCTTGTCCCTTCTCCATGTTCTTGTCCCCTCTCCATGTCACTATTCCCACGGTGTCCCTGTCCCCATTCCCATGGTGTCCCTTGTCCCCATTCCTGGTCTGTCCCTGTCCCCTTCCCCTGTCCCTATTCCCTGTCCCCATTCCCGGCTGTCCCCATCCCCATCCCCGGGCTGTTCCCATTCCCAATGTGTCCCCGTCCCCATTCCTGGGCTGCCCCCTTCCCCGGGCTGTCCCTGTCCCCATTCCCAGTTGTCCCCATCCCCATTCCCGGCTGTCCCTTGTCCCTGTCCCCATCCCCGGCTGTCCCGGATGCTCTGGGATGCTCCAGGGTGCTCCAGAACCCTTTGGGATGCTCTGGGATGCTCCAGGATACCCCAGAACCTTTGGGATGCTCTGGGATGCTCCAGGGTGCTCCAGAACCCTTTGGGATGCTCTGGGATGCTCCAGGATACCCCAGAACCTTTGGGATGCTCTGGGATGCTCCAGGGTGCTCCAGAACCCTTTGGGATGCTCTGGGATGCTCCAGGATACCCCAGAACCTTTGGGATGCTCTGGGATGCTCCAGGGTGCTCCAGAACCCTTTGGGATGCTCTGGGATGCTCCAGGATACCCCAGAACCTTTGGGATGCTCTGGGATGCTCCAGGGTGCTCCAGAACCCTTTGGGATGCTCTGGGATGCTCCAGGATACCCCAGAACCTTTGGGATGCTCTGGGATGCTCCAGGGTGCTCCAGAACCCTTTGGGATGCTCTGGGATGCTCCAGGATACCCCAGAACCTTTGGGATGCTCTGGGATGCTCCAGGGTGCTCCAGAACCCTTTGGGATGCTCTGGGATGCTCCAGGATACCCCAGAACCTTTGGGATGCTCTGGGATGCTCCAGGGTGCTCCAGAACCCTTTGGGATGCTCTGGGATGCTCCAGGATACCCCAGAACCTTTGGGATGCTCTGGGATGCTCCAGGGTGCTCCAGAACCCTTTGGGATGCTCTGGGATGCTCCAGGATACCCCAGAACCTTTGGGATGCTCTGGGATGCTCCAGGGTGCTCCAGAACCCTTTGGGATGCTCTGGGATGCTCCAGGATACCCCAGAACCTTTGGGATGCTCTGGGATGCTCCAGGGTGCTCCAGAACCCTTTGGGATGCTCTGGGATGCTCCAGGATACCCCAGAACCTTTGGGATGCTCTGGGATGCTCCAGGGTGCTCCAGAACCCTTTGGGATGCTCTGGGATGCTCCAGGATACCCCAGAACCTTTGGGATGCTCTGGGATGCTCCAGGGTGCTCCAGAACCCTTTGGGATGCTCTGGGATGCTCCAGGATACCCCAGAACCTTTGGGATGCTCTGGGATGCTCCAGGGTGCTCCAGAACCCTTTGGGATGCTCTGGGATGCTCCAGGATACCCCAGAACCTTTGGGATGCTCTGGGATGCTCCAGGGTGCTCCAGAACCCTTTGGGATGCTCTGGGATGCTCCAGGATACCCCAGAACCTTTGGGATGCTCTGGGATGCTCCAGGGTGCTCCAGAACCCTTTGGGATGCTCTGGGATGCTCCAGGATACCCCAGAACCTTTGGGATGCTCTGGGATGCTCCAGGGTGCTCCAGAACCCTTTGGGATGCTCTGGGATGCTCCAGGATACCCCAGAACCTTTGGGATGCTCTGGGATGCTCCAGGGTGCTCCAGAACCCTTTGGGATGCTCTGGGATGCTCCAGGATACCCCAGAACCTTTGGGATGCTCTGGGATGCTCCAGGGTGCTCCAGAACCCTTTGGGATGCTCTGGGATGCTCCAGGATACCCCAGAACCTTTGGGATGCTCTGGGATGCTCCAGGGTGCTCCAGAACCCTTTGGGATGCTCTGGGATGCTCCAGGATACCCCAGAACCTTTGGGATGCTCTGGGATGCTCCAGGGTGCTCCAGAACCCTTTGGGATGCTCTGGGATGCTCCAGGATACCCCAGAACCTTTGGGATGCTCTGGGATGCTCCAGGGTGCTCCAGAACCCTTTGGGATGCTCTGGGATGCTCCAGGATACCCCAGAACCTTTGGGATGCTCTGGGATGCTCCAGGGTGCTCCAGAACCCTTTGGGATGCTCTGGGATGCTCCAGGATACCCCAGAACCTTTGGGATGCTCTGGGATGCTCCAGGGTGCTCCAGAACCCTTTGGGATGCTCTGGGATGCTCCAGGATACCCCAGAACCTTTGGGATGCTCTGGGATGCTCCAGGGTGCTCCAGAACCCTTTGGGATGCTCTGGGATGCTCCAGGATACCCCAGAACCTTTGGGATGCTCTGGGATGCTCCAGGGTGCTCCAGAACCCTTTGGGATGCTCTGGGATGCTCCAGGATACCCCAGAACCTTTGGGATGCTCTGGGATGCTCCAGGGTGCTCCAGAACCCTTTGGGATGCTCTGGGATGCTCCAGGATACCCCAGAACCTTTGGGATGCTCTGGGATGCTCCAGGGTGCTCCAGAACCCTTTGGGATGCTCTGGGATGCTCCAGGATACCCCAGAACCTTTGGGATGCTCTGGGATGCTCCAGGGTGCTCCAGAACCCTTTGGGATGCTCTGGGATGCTCCAGGATACCCCAGAACCTTTGGGATGCTCTGGGATGCTCCAGGGTGCTCCAGAACCCTTTGGGATGCTCTGGGATGCTCCAGGATACCCCAGAACCTTTGGGATGCTCTGGGATGCTCCAGGGTGCTCCAGAACCCTTTGGGATGCTCTGGGATGCTCCAGGATACCCCAGAACCTTTGGGATGCTCTGGGATGCTCCAGGGTGCTCCAGAACCCTTTGGGATGCTCTGGGATGCTCCAGGATACCCCAGAACCTTTGGGATGCTCTGGGATGCTTTGGGATGCTCTGGGATGGCTCCGGTATGCTCCAGAACCTTTGGGATACTCCAGAACCCTTTGGGATGCTCTGGAATGCTCTGGGGTGCTCCAGGACACTTTGGGATGCTCTGGGATAGCTCCAGGATGCTCCAGAACCTTTGGGATGCTCTGGAATTCTCCGGGGTGCTCTGGGGTGTTCTGGAATGCTCAGGGGTGCTCCTGGATTCTCTGGAATGCTCCAGAACCCTTTGGGATGGCTCTGGAATGTTCTGGGATGCTCCAGAACCCTTTGGGATGGCTCTGGGGTGCTCCAGAACCCTTTGGGATGCTCCAGAACCCTTTGGGATGGCTCTGGGGTGCTCCCAGAACCCTTTGGGATGCTCTGGGGTGCTCCAGAACCCTTTGGGATGCTCCAGAACCCTTGGGATGCCCTGGGGTGCCCCCCACCCATCCAGGGCCTCTCCAAGGACCCCCCCAGCCCCCCGGGCCCCTCACTCACCCTCAGGCAGGCCCGGGGGGGCTCCGGGGGCGCGGCCGTGGCCGCGGAAGCAGAGGCGGGCGCGCAGGCAGACGGCGCCGGAGCCGCCGCGCCGGCAGTTCCTCTGCGTGACGCTGACGGCCGCCGGCTGCACCGACACGGCCGCGGCCACGCGCAGGATCCGGCGGGACCTGCGGGGCACGGCCACGGCGGGCGGCTCAGGGGGCACGGCCCGAGCCCGCTGAGCGCGGGGAGAGCGCGAGGGCTCCGGGAGCAGAGCGGGGTCTGGCCAGGGGAAACTGAGGCACGGACTGTCGCGCCATGGCCCGCGTGGCACTGTTCTCAGGGTGTCCCTGTCCCTTCTGCATGTTCTTGTCCCCTCTCCATGTCCTCATTCCCGGGGTGTCCCTGTCCCCATTCCTGAGGTGTCCCTGTCCCTTCTCCATGTCCCTGTTCCTGGGGTGTCCCTGTCCCTTGTCCATGTCCCCATTTCCAGGGTGTCCCTGTCCCCTCTCCACGTCCCTGTCCCTTCTCCATGTCCCTGTTCCCAGGGTGTCCCTGTCCCCATTCCTGACGTGTCCCTATCCCTTCTCCATGTCCCCATTTCCAGGGTGTCCCTGTACCTGTTCCTGGGGTGTCCTTGTCCCTTCTCCATGTTCTTGTCCCCTCTCCATGTCACTATTCCCACGGTGTCCCTGTCCCCATTCCCATGGTGTCCCTTGTCCCCATTCCTGGTCTGTCCCTGTCCCCTTCCCCTGTCCCTATTCCCTGTCCCCATTCCCGGCTGTCCCCATCCCCATCCCCGGGCTGTTCCCATTCCCAATGTGTCCCCGTCCCCATTCCTGGGCTGCCCCCTTCCCCGGGCTGTCCCTGTCCCCATTCCCAGTTGTCCCCATCCCCATTCCCGGCTGTCCCTTGTCCCTGTCCCCATCCCCGGCTGTCCCTGTCCCCTCCCTGTCCCCTCCCCGTCCCCATTCCCTGTCCCCATTCCCGTCTGTCCCCATCCCCACGGTGTCCCTGTCCCATCCCCGGCTGTCCCTGTCCCCTCCCCTGTCCCCTCCCCGTCCCGCTCACCGCAGCACCACGGCCGCCCCCTGCGCCCCCACGGCCACGTCCACCAGTCCGTCCCCGTCCATGTCCGTCCGTCCGTCCGCGCTGACCCCGAAGTAGCGCAGGCTCCAGCCCAGCGCGGCCGCCCCGATGCGCTGGGGGCGGGAACTGAGGGGTTAAACTCGTCTGGGGGCTCAGAGGGGTTTAGAACACAGAATCGGCCGTTTTAAATAGAAAATGTTGAAATAAAGGCAAATGGAATAGGAAATCGAGTGAAAATAAAATCGAGTGAAAATAAAATCGAGTAAAAATAAAATCAAGTAAAAATAAAATCAAGTAAAAATAAAATCAAGTAAAATAGATATAAACTTTTAAAATAAAGGTAATAAAATATGAAATCAAGTGAAAATAAAATCAAGTAAAATAGATATAAACTTTTAAAATAAAGTTAAATAAAATACAAAATCAAGTAAAAAATAAAATAAATATAAACTTTTAAAATAAATAAAATATAAAATCAAGTAAAAATAAAATTAAGTAAAAATAAAATCAAGCAAAACCAAAATAAATTAAATATAAACTTTTAAAATAAATTGAAATAAAATAGCTGCCCTCAAATTTTTTGAGGTCCTATGAGGTGGCATCATTGAGAGACACTTTTTTGGGGCTTTTTTTACTTTTTTGGGGGCTTTTTTCCTTTTTTTGGGGCTTTTTTTCCTTTTTTTTTGGTGGGACAAAGGCTAATTTTGCCACTCTGGCATTAGCGGGGCACACCCCTACACCCCCCGTGGCTGTGCCCACCCTGCCAGGCGCTCTCACCTGCGTCTGGCGGGGCAGCAGGGTGCCAGGGGCGGTGTGGAACACGTAGAGAGCCCCTCGGTGCCCGTCCTCCAGCGGAGCGCCCACCACGGCCCCGGCCAGCCCGTCCTGGCCCAGGTCGGGCACGGCGCCCAGCGCGGACCCGAACCTGGAATCCTGCGGCCTCGCCTCGGGGAGCAGCGACCCCGCGGGGCTCAGGCGCTCCTGGGGGGTCAGGGGTGCCCTCGGTACCCCCGCGGGGCAGGCACCCCCTCGGTGCCGCTGCGTGCCCGTCATTCCCTGAATTCCTTCAACGTCTTGGCAGCGCGGTGGTGCGCCCGGTGCCCGCCCCAGTGCGCCCCAGTTCAACCCAGTCCCGCTCAGCTGCCCCACACCATGAACACAGACCCTCCTCCTGCCCCCTCACCTGCCCCACACCATGAACACAGACCCTCCTCCTGCCCCCTCACCTGCCCCACACCATGAACACAGACCCTCCTCCTGCCCCCTCACCTGCCCCACACCCTCTCAGTGCCCCCACCTGTCCTCTCATCTCCCCCATACCATAAATATAGAACCACCCCCTGCCCCTCTCACCTGCCCCACGCCCCCAGACCCTCCCGGTGCCCCCTCACCTGCCCCCTGTGCCCCCTCACCTGCCCCACCCGGTACACGTAGACCCTGCCGCGCTCCCAGCCCTGCCCCCCCAGGTAGGAGGGCGCTGCCACCAGCAGCAGCTCGCTGTCCCCATCTCCCTCCAGGTCCAGGGCCAGCACCTCGCTGCCGAAGTAGGAGCCGATCTGGGGGTGCAGGGGGCTGTGAGGCTTTGGGGGGGCCCAAACCCCCCTCCCCAGAGCCCCCCAAGCCCCCCAGCAGCCCTCACCTGGTCCCCCACCAGCGCCTGGGCCACCGTCACGGCGCCCGAGGGGTCCAGCTGGAACAGGACGACCTTGCCCTTGTGCTGGAAGCGGGGGGCACCGGCCACCAACAGGCGCTGCCCCCCCGGCAGCTGCAGCGAGGACACCGAGTACCCTGGGGGGGAGAGGGTCAGAGCCCCGGGGGGACAGGGGGTCCTGGGGCACCCCAAAATCCGGGGTTGGGGTGAACCTGGGGCACCCCAAATATCCAGGACATGGAGCATCCCAGAGCACCCCAAAATCCGGGTTTGGAGCGTCCCAGGGCACCCCAAAATCTGGGTTTGGGGCATTTCTGGAGTGTCCCCAGAGCACCCCAAATATTTGGGTTTGGAATGTCCCAGGGCACCCCAAATATCCGGGTTTGGGGCATCCCCAGGGGACCCCAAATATCCAATTTTGGAGCATCCCTGAAGTGTCCCTGGGGCACCCCAAATATCCAGGTTTGGAGTGAACCTGGGGCACCCCAATATCCAGGCTTGGGGCATCCCTGGAGTATGGAGTGTCCCTAGGGCACCCCAAATTTCCAGAACATTTCTGTACCACCAAATCCCCCCCAAATATCCATTCCAGGGAACACCCCCACTTCACCCCAAATCTGCAGGCCGTGGAACACCCTTGAGTCACCCCAAATCTGGAGGAAGGGAACACCCCAATTCACCCCAAATCTGGAGGAAGGGAACACCCCGATTCACCCCAAATCTGGAGGAAGGGAACACCCAGATTCACCCCAAATCTGGAGCACGGAGCACCCCTGATTCACCCCAAATCTGCAGGCCGTGGAATACCCCCATTCACCCCAAATCCGGAGCACGGAGCACCCCTGGTTCACCCCAAATCCGGAGCACGGAGCACCCCTGGTTCACCCCAAATCCGGAGCACGGAGCACCCCTGGTTCACCCCAAATCCGGAGCACGGAGCACCCCTGGTTCACCCCAAATCCGGAGCACGGAGCACCCCTGGCTCACCCCAAATCCGGAGCACGGAGCACCCCCGGCCCCCCGTACCCCATACCCAGGTAGGCCGCGTGGTTCCTGAGCCGCAGCGGGAATTCCTCCTGGAAGGCCTCGCGCGCCGGCACCACGCGCCCGCGCCGCCGCTCCTCCAGCACTCCTCCCTCCCAGGCGTGGGCTCCCACCATCCCAAAGAGCATCCCGTCCTGCCGGCGTAGGAATCCATGGGGTCAGAGGGTTTTAGGGAAGGCGGGGAAAAAAAAGGCCTCAGAAAGAGTAAGGAGAGCGAAATGCTAAAGCAGCAAAGAGATATTGGCAGACATGAGAAACAGAACAATAAAGCTGTGCAGTTTGGCTTTCCAAGTTGCAAAAAGGTATATTTTAGTAAATGTTTAGAGGGTTAAATATGAGTAGGGCTCTGTGCTCTTTTATAAAATACCTATTGTATGAGAGAAAAAGCTGCTATTGTTTTAACCAAAGCTACGCGTGCTTCATGTGGCTGGATAGAACTGTCAATGTGCTTTTGCTCTATGTCATTGGCTGAAACTGGGTCTGAAACTATCTTATAATATGTTTTAACATTAAGTTTCCTTGGTCTTCTGTCAAAAGAAAGGCTGCAGAGACAGTAAGGAGAGCGAAATGCTAAAGCAGCAGCAAAGAGATATCAGCAGACATGAGAAATAGAAAGCCAAACTGCACAGCTTTATTGTTCTAAGTTGCAAAAAGGTATATTTTAGTAAATGTTTAGAAGGTTAAATACAAATAGGGCTCTGTGCTCTGTCTTTTATAAACGAACCATTGTATGAGAGAAAAAGCTGCTATTGTTTTAACCAAAGCTATGCGTGCTTCATGTGGCTGGACAGAACTGTCAATGTGCTTTTGCTCTATGTCATTGGCTGAAACTGGGTCTGAAACTATCTTATAATATGTTTTAACATTAAGTTTCCTTGGCCTTCTGTCTGGATAGCGAGCTGCTCGCATGGATCCATTGCCAGAGCCATGTAATGAGACTGATGCTACTTAAATAAACAGCTCATGACGCTGTTCAGGCGTGGTCCCATTCTGTTTGTGTCTGTAAGTAATTGCTGGCACAGCTCGGTGGCCCCGAGCCCTGCCAATGTCACCCAGGGGTGACACAGGTTGTTTGCCACCTTTCCCAGTGGTCACAGAGAGAAACAACTTCCCCAAGGCTGTGAGAAGCTCAGGGAAAAGAATTATGAATGATTTTTATCTCACGCTGCTGCACCCGGTGTTTGTGATGGCGTTAATGTGTGTGGATTACCAAAGGGTGGCTCCTTAATTAGCCAGTGTTTTGATGAAAGGACCAACCTAGAGAACCAGAGCACAGAAAGGAACGGGTGTCCTAACCAAGTGGATTTAGCCTTTCTGCCTCGCTATCTGCCAGGATCACCTCGAGGTGGTGGATGGAGAAGCCGATCTGGGACATCTCCAGCTCGAAGGCGCTCTCGTTGTCGCCGTGGGTGCCTGGGCGGGCGAGGAAGGAGACTCAGCTCCTCCAGCTGGGACCCCCAGCCCTTCCCACCACCCCAGCCCCCATCCAGCACCTTCCAGGCTGAAGATCCGATCCCCCAGAGCGTCCACGATGTCGCTGAGGGCAGCCTCATCCGTGACGTTGAAGAAATACTTCTCGTCGGGGTCGCTGGCGATGGACTTGATCTCCCGGATGAAATCCTGGGGATCCTGCTGCCGCCGCAGGTAGTGCCCCAGCACCTGAGGGGGGCACGGGGCTCAGCAGGAGCACCCCGGGGCGCGGGGGAGGCAGGGGTGGGTGGCAGGGGGCTCACGGCGATGGCGTAGCGGGTGACGTTGCGCCGCTCGCACTCGGCCAGCGCGGCGGGCAGCTCGTCGCCGTCGTGGGACTCGCCGTCCGTCACCACCAGCAGCAGCCGCGCCGCGCCCGGGCGCCCGCCCCGCGCCGCGCTGAACGACTGGGTGCTGGGGGAGAGCCGGCCCCGCTCAGCCCCCAGTGCTGGCCCTGATCCCAGCCCTCATCCTGATCCTGATCCAAATCCAAATCCTGGCCCTGCTCCCAGCCCTCATCCTGATCCTGATCCCAATCCTGGCCCTGATCCCAGCCCTCATCCTGATCCTGATCCTGATCCCAATCCTGGCCCTGCTCCCAGCCCTCATCCTGATCCTGATCCCAATCCTGGCCCTGATCCCAGCCCTCATCCTGATCCTGATCCCAATCCTGGCCCTGATCCCAGCCCTCATCCTGATCCTGATCCTGATCCCAATCCTGGCCCTGATCCCAGCCCTCATCCTGATCCTGATCCTGATCCCAATCCTGGCCCTGGCCCACCATGCCTCCCGGATGGCCATGGCCGTCCTGGTCTCCCTCCCCTCCTGCCGCGTCAGGTTCCGCGCGGCCTCCAGCAGCCTCTGGGCCGTGGGGTGCTGCCCCAGCGCCCACTCCTGCACCACGTGCTCCCCGTACTGCAGCACCCCCACCTGCAACGGGGAGAGTCAGAGCCAGAGGGAACCCCAAAACATCCCCCAACCCACAGGGACCCCCCAAACCCATAGGGATATCCCTCAATTCCCCAGGGTGCTCCCCCAGCGCCCACTCCTGCACCACGTGCTCCCCGTACTGCAGCACCCCCACCTGCAATGGGGAGAGTCAGAGGGAACCCCAAAACATCCCCCAACCCACAGGGACCCCCCAAACCCACAGGGATATCCCTCAATTCCCCAGAGGATCCCCAAACCCACAGGGACATCCCTCAAGTCCCCAGGGAATCCCCAAAGTTCAGGGGGAACCCTCAAATCCCCCGGGAGGACAACGCCATCACCCCAAGGAATGATGCCATCACCCCAGGGGACAATGCCATCACCCCAAGACTGGCACCACCCCAGGGGCAACAGCACTGCCCTGAGGACAGTCCCCTTGCCCTGGGGACACCCCCCAGCCTTGGGGACACCACCCCAGCCCTGGGGACACCCCCCAGCCCTGGGGACAGTCCCCCAGCCTTGGGGACACCGCGGTGCCACCAAGGTGCCACACCAGGTGCCACCTTTCCAATGACAATGCCATCACAGCACTGCCCTGGAGACAGCCCCCTTGCCCTGGGGACACCCCCCAGCCTTGGGGACACCACCCCAGACCTGGGGACACCACCCCAGCCCTGGGGACACCATCCCAGCCTTGGGGACACCATTGTGCCACCAAGGGAACCCCCAAACCCACAGGGATATCCCTCAATTCCCCAGAGGATCCCCAAACCCACAGGGACATCCCTCAAATCCCCAGGGAATCCCCAAAGTTCAGGGGGAACCCTCAAATCCCCCGGGAGGACAACGCCATCACCCCAAGGAATGATGCCATCACCCCAGGGGACAATGCCATCACCCCAAGGACAACAGCACTGCCCTGGAGACAGCCCCCCTGGGGACACCCCCCCGTGGTGCCACCAAGGTGCCACACCAGGTGCCACCTTTCCAATGACAATGCCATCACCCAAGGGACAATGCCATCACCCCAAGGACAACAGCACTGCCCTGGAGACAGCCCCCTTGCCCTGGGGACACCCTCCTTGCCCTGGGTCTGCCCTCCTTGCCCTGGGGACACCCCCCAGCCTTGGGGACACCACCCCAGACCTGGGGACACCACCCCAGCCCTGGGGACACCATCCCAGCCTTGGGGACACCATTGTGCCACCAAGGTGCCACACAAGGTGCCACCTTTCCAATGACAATGCCATCACAGCACTGCCCTGGAGACAGCCCCCTTGCCCTGGGGACACCCCCCAGCCTTGGGGACACCACCCCAGACCTGGGGACACCACCCCAGCCCTGGGGACACCATCCCAGCCTTGGGGACACCATTGTGCCACCAAGGTGCCACACAAGGTGCCACCTTTCCAATGACAATGCCATCACAGCACTGCCCTGGAGACAGCCCCCTTGCCCTGGGGACACCCCCCAGCCTTGGGGACACCACCCCAGACCTGGGGACACTCAGGGGGAACCCTCAAATCCCCCGGGAGGACAACGCCATCACCCCAAGGAATGATGCCATCACCCCAGGGGACAATGCCATCACCCCAAGACTGGCACCACCCCAGGGGCAACAGCACTGCCCTGAGGACAGTCCCCTTGCCCTGGGGACACCCCCCAGCCTTGGGGACACCACCCCAGCCCTGGGGACACCCCCCAGCCCTGGGGACAGTCCCCCAGCCTTGGGGACACCGCGGTGCCACCAAGGTGCCACACCAGGTGCCACCTTTCCAATGCCAAGGCCATCACCCCCCTGCCCTGGGGACCCCCCCCCAGCCCTGGGGACACCCTCCTTGCCCTGGGTCTGCCCTCCTTGCCCTGGGGACACCCCCCAGCCTTGGGGACACCACCCCAGACCTGGGGACACCACCCCAGCCCTGGGGACACCATCCCAGCCTTGGGGACACCATTGTGCCACCAAGGTGCCACACAAGGTGCCACCTTTCCAATGACAATGCCATCACAGCACTGCCCTGGGGACACCCCCCAGTCCTGGGGACACCGCGGTGCCACCAAGGTGCCACACGGTGCCACCTTTCCAATGACAATGCCATCGCCCCAAGGACAACAGCACTGCCTTGGAGACACCCCCCCCAGCCTTGGGGACACCCCCAGCCCTGGGGACACCCCCAGCCCTGGGCACACCGCGGTGCCACCAGGACGCCCCGCCCTGACCTGGGTCTGCCCGGGCCCGACGAAGAAGCGGCGCAGGATGTTGCCCAGGAACGCCTGCACCTCCTCCCAGGGGTAGATGCTGTTGGAGCCGTCCAGCAGCACGACGATGTCCATGAAGGTGGGGCAGCCTGGCAGGGGACACGGTGACAGCGGGGGTGGCACGGCCCGGCGGCGCCCAGGGCGTGCCAACCCCACTCACGCTGGGCTGTGGGCGCCACGGTGCCCACGGGCCGGAGCTCCCGGTCCAGCTGGAGGCAGCGGCCGGTGCTGAACACGGAGGTGCCACATTCCTGCGACCACAGCGGGGCACACGCCTTGGGGAGGGGTGGCACCGGGCCACGGCGGTGACGTCATCATGATGTCACCCTGACGTCATGCTGATGTCACCCCCCCTGCCTCAGTTTCCCCCGGCTCACCACGACCCCGCCGTCCTCGGAGTCTGCCAGCGTCATGCCGAGGTGGCCGGGGCTGCTGCTGAGCCACGGCACGGCAGCGCCTTGGGGACAGCGGGGACAAACAGGGGGACCCCAAAAAGCTCAGCAGGGGCTGGGCTGGGGGGGGCTCCCCGTACTGGAACGGGGAGGGTCAGAGGCAGGGGGAGCCCTAAAATATCCCCCGAAGCCACGGGGATCCCCCAAAGCCACAGGGAACCCCAAACCCACAGGGAACCCCAAACCCACAGGGATCCCCCAAACCCACAGGGAACCCCAAACCCACAGGGAACCCCAAAGTCCACAGGGAACCCCCAAACTCACAGAAACCCCAAACCCACGGGAACCCCCAGGGAACCCCCAAACCCACAGGGAACCTCCAGAGAACCCCCAAATCCATAGGGATCCCCAAACCCACAGGGACCCTCCAAATCCACAGAGAACCCCCAAAACCATAGGGAATCCCAAAGTCCACAGGGACCCCAAAGCCACAGGGAACCTCCAGGGAATCCCCAACCCCACAGGGAACCCCCAAACCTACAGGGACCCCAAACCCACACGGAACTCCCAAAGCCACAAGGAACCCCAAAACCCCCAAGGAATCCCCAAACCCATAGGGGACCCCAAATCCCCAAGGAGCCCCCAAACCCTCAGGGAATCCCAAAGTCCACAGGGAACCCCCAAAGCCCCGGGGAACCCTAAAACCACAGGGAACCCCAAACCCACATGGAACCCCCAAAGCCACAAGGAACCCCAAAACCCCCAAGGAATCCCCAAACCCATAGGGGACCCCAAATCCCCAAGGAGCCCCCAAACCCTCAGGGAATCCCAAAGTCCACAGGGAACCCCCAAAGCCACGGGGAACCCCCAAATCCACAGGGACCCCTCAAACCCCCAGGGACTCCCTAAAACCACAGGGACACCCCTCAAACCCCCTCTCCCCACCTTTCCTGCCTCAGTTTCCCCATTCCTGCCTCAGTTTCCCCATCCCTGCCTCAGTTTCCCCTTGTCCCTTTTGTCCCCGGGCCTCACCCACTTCTTGTCCCCATCACCCCCCCAGTAGCCAAACTGGGACTCCGGTGGCCCCTGGCACCCCCCAAGCCCCCGGGGACACCCCAGATGTCCCCCCCAGCCCCGGTACCGAGGTTGGCCTTGGCACAGGAGGAGTTCTGGGCTCCCATGTGGCACTTGTAGACGTCACCTCGGCCATCGCCGTCCCACGGGGCCCCCACCAGGAGCCTGGGGGGGTCAAAAAGGGGTGGGGGGGACACAGGGGATGTCCCCCCCAAACCCAGCCTGGACACAGCCGGCCGCGTGTTTTAGGGAGGGGGGCACCGTGCCAGGCTGTGCCACCCACGTCTGTCTGTCTGTCTGTCCGGCCGCAGCCTCCTGCCCCTCCCGTGCTTCCCCTTCCCAGCCCCAACCGCCCTCCCTCCCCTCCCTGCCTCAGTTTCTCTTTCACAAAATCCCTTCCCGCCTCAGTTTTTGGCTTCCCTGCCTCAGGTTCCCCGTTCCTGCCTCAGTTTCCCCTTTCCCACCTCATTTTTTCCCATTCCTGCCTCAGTTTCCCCGTCCCTGCCTCAGTTTCCCCATTCCTGCCTCAGTTTCCCCGTCCGTGCCTCAGTTTCCCCGTCCGTGCCTCAGTTTCCCCGTCCGTGCCTCAGTTTCCCCTTTCCTGCCTCAGTTTCCCTTTCCTTTTCCCGCCTCAGTTTTTGGCTTCCCTGCCTCAGGTTCCCCGTTCCTGCCTCAGGTTCCCCTTTCCCACCTCATTTTTTCCCATCCCTGCCTCAGTTTCCCCTTTCCCCCCTCAGTTTCCCTTTCCCTGCCTCAGTTTCCCCTTTCCCCCCTCATTTTTTCCCATCCCTGCCTCAGTTTCCCCATTCCTGCCTCAGTTTCCCCGTCCGTGCCTCAGTTTCCCCTTTCCCCCCTCAGTTTCCCCGTTCCCCCCTCAGTTTCCTGTTCCCTGCCTCAGTTTCCCCGTCCCTGCCTCAGTTTCCCCTTCCCTGCCTCAATTTCCCCATCCCTGCCTCAGTTTCCCCTTCCCTGCCTCAATTTCCCCATCCCTGCCTCAGTTCCCCCTTCCCTGCCTCAATTTCCCCATCCCTGCCTCAGTTCCCCCTTCCCTGCCTCAATTTCCCCATCCCTGCCTCAGTTCCCCCTTCCCTGCCTCAATTTCCCCATCCCTGCCTCAGTTCCCCCTTCCCTGCCTCAATTTCCCCATCCCTGCCTCAGTTCCCCCTTCCCTGCCTCAATTTCCCCATCCCTGCCTCAGTTTCCCCATTCCTGCCTCAGTTTCCCCGTCCGTGCCTCAGTTTCCCCTTTCCCCCCTCAGTTTCCCCGTTCCCCCCTCAGTTTCCTGGCCGTGCCTCAGTTTCCCCGGGCTCACTCACCACCTGTCCCCGTGGCCCCCCCGCTGCAGCACCCGGTAGCCAAACTGGGACTCTGGTGGCCCCCGGAAGAGCCTCGGCCGCCCCACGTCGATGTTGAACCCCCCGGCGAGCCCTGCCGAGGTCGAGGGGGTGGAAAATCCCTTTTTTGCCTTTTTTTTCCCCAAAAATCCCCATTAAAAATGAGATTTTTCCAGTAAAAATTTTTCCCTGCCTCAGTTTCCCCGTTCCCCCCTCATTTTTTCCCTTCCCTGCCTCAGTTTCCCCATCCCTGCCTCAGTTTCCCCGTTCCCCCCTCAGTTTCCCCGTTCCCCCCTCAGTTTCCCCTTTCCCCCCTCAGTTTCCCCGTTCCCCCCTCAGTTTCCCCGGCCGTGCCTCAGTTTCCCCGGGCTCACTCACCACCTGTCCCCGTGGCCCCCCCGCTGCAGCACCCGGTAGCCAAACTGGGACTCTGGTGGCCCCTGGAAGAGCCTCGGCCGCCCCACGTCGATGTTGAACCCCCCGGCGAGCCCTGCCGAGGTCGAGGGGGTGGAAAATCCCTTTTTTGCCTTTTTTTTCCCCAAAAATCCCCATTAAAAATGAGATTTTTCCAGTAAAAATTCCGGGTTTCGGTTCCCCTTACGAGTTCCGCTTTCCCGCCTCGAGCCCGCCCTGAACCCAAAGGGATTTTGGTGCTTTTTTCCTCCAAAATGAATCAGGAGGGGGGAAATTGCCAAAATTTGGTCAATTTTCAAGAGATTTTGGTGTTTTTTCCCCCTCAAAAAACTCCTAAATAAATTCTGAAGGGGGAAATGACCAAAACTGGTCGGTTTTACCCCAAAATCCCCGAAATTGCCAAAATTTGGTCAATTTTCAAGAGATTTTGGTGTTTTCCACCTCCCAAAAAGCTCCAAAATAAATCAGGAGGGGACAAATTACCAAAATTGGTTGGATTTAAAAAGATTTTGGTGTTTTCTCCCTCCAAAAAAGCTCCAAAATAAATTAGGAGAGAAATGACCAAAATTTGCTGGTTTTAAAGGGATTTTGGTGTTTTCTCTCTCCAAAAAAAGCTCAAAAATAAATTAAGAGGGGGGAAATGACCAAAACTGGTCGTTTTTACCCCAAAATCCCCCCTGAAAATTCAAAAGTGGTCAATTTTAAAGGGATTTTGGTGTTTATTTCCCTCCAAAATAAATCAGAAGGGGGGAAATTGCCAAAATTTGGCCAATTTTAAAGCGATTTTGGTGTTTCCTACCCCTCAAAAAACTCCAAAATAAATTAAGTGGGGGGAAATGACCCAAAATTGGTCAATTTTAAAGATATTTTGGTGTTTTCTCCTTCTCAAAAAACTCCAAAATAAATTCTGAAGGGGGAAATGACCAAAACTGGTCGGTTTTACCCCAAAACCCCCCTGAAAATTCTAAAGTGGTCAATTTTAAAGAGATTTTGGTGTTTTCTCCTTCTCAAAAAAGCTCAAAAATAAATTAAGTGGGGGGGAAATCACCAAAATTGGTCAATTTTAAAGAGATTTTGGTGTTTCCTCCCTCCAAAATAAATCAGGAGGGGACAAATTAACAAAATTGGTCAATTTTAAAGAGATTTTGGTGTTTTTTCCCCCTCAAAAAACCCCAAAATAAATTCTGAAGGGGGAAATGACCAAAACTGGTCGGTTTTACCCCAAAATCCCCCCTGAAAATTCTAAAGTGGTCAATTTTAAAGAGATTTTGGTGTTTTCTCCTTCTCAAAAAAGCTCAAAAATAAATTAAGTGGGGACAAATTACGCAGGGAGCCCCACGTGGCCGCACTCGCTCCATCCAAACCCCAACCCCAATTTCACCCCAAATCCCAAATCCCAGCCTGGAAAAACCCCAAAAACCCCAAAATAAAGTGAATTTTTGGGGTTACCTGGGAGCAGGAGCAGCGCCAGGAGCAGCCCCCGCTTCCCCCCCATCGCTGCAGCTCCGGCAAAATCCCGATTTTGGGGTTTTTTGCCTTTTTTTTTTTTTTTCACCAGTTTATTTTTCCCTCCTCCTCCATCTCCAATTGGCTGCTAAAAATAAATGCGGTTTTGGGGTGGGGGGAGGTAAAATTTCAGGGAAAAAAACCGGGCAAAGTGGTAAAAACACAGGAAAAAAGGAGAAAGGAGGAGGTGGCGCAGGATTTTTAATTTTTTGGGGGGTTCTGGGTGCTCGAAGGGGATTTTTTTCACTTTTTTTATGGGAAAAATGAGGGGGAAAAATCGGAATTTTTTCCACAGAGGTGGCAGTGACAGCGGGAAATTCCCCCTGGGGACAGGCAGGGGAAAAAAGGAATTTTGGGGGGGTTTGGGTGAATTTTGGGTGGATTTTGAGTGGATTTTGGGCGGATTTTGGGTGAATTTTGGGTGAATTTTGGGGGGCTTTTGGGGTGGATTTGGGGTGGATTTGGGGCGGATTTTGGGCGGATTTTGGGCGGATTTTGGGTTGCCACGTCCTCAGGGTGACGCTGCCACCAGCCGGGCTGAGTTAAAAAAAATAAAATAAAATAAATAAATAAAAAAATTAAAAAGGGAAAAATTCCAACCCGGCGGTTTTGGGACAGAGGGAAACTTGTGCTGCCAGGGGCTGCGGGAAGGGCAGGAATTTAAAAAAAAAA